GTATCTGTTACTTCTCGTCCGTAGTGCCTGCGCCAGAACGAGCTCGCCTGGTATTTGGAGCATGGGGTCCGGGGGCGGAGGAGACCAAGCGCGGTCCATAAGAGTCTCAAACTCAACACTAGGCAGAAGCTTAGCCTTCTTGGTTGAACGTAGGTCCTCTATATCGTCTTCTTCTGAAGAAAACGTCCCTCCAGTGTACGCGGAAATCATCTCAGGCATCCCATCACGCTTGAGTCCATCTGCATCATCCATAGCTTTCACTGCTGCCTCCCATCTCTCGCACATATCTGTCTTTGTTTTCTTGCGAGGGGAAGAGTTTGAGGATCCAGTTGTGGTGAGAGATGAGACTTGAAAAGTTGCTCGGGAAAAACGCTTTTCGCCAGACAGGTCATGAATAGGCTGGACGTTGAATTCGGATGGAGATGAAATTGTCGAAGGTTCTCGAGATAATGCCAGGTCGCCAAAGAGGGTCACGCAGAGAGGTTGTTTTTGGACGACCTAACCATTCGCTTGTTTGAATTGAGACATTTTCAGCATGTCAGGGAATGCTCACCCTGGCAGGCCACCACATGCGGTTTTCCAGAAGCTCGATATCATCGTCATCATGCGGGACCGAGGTGATAATGACTCCTGAATCATTCACCAGTACCCAAACTAGAGTATCGACGTTGCCGAAGCCATGTCCATCACCCCGGTCAGATAATTTTGCCTTTCCTGCCTTCCTTTTCCTTGGGGAAGTTTGGCTCCGGGGATGTGAGAAGCTGGAACTGGATACGCCAAGAGAGCGCGTGGAACCACCCCTAATCCTACTAAGCTTCTGAGGCGGTGGGGTAGAATGACTGATTATGGAACGTGGGGGAAGATCCGTAGTTGAGATAAGCGGACTTGTAGGAACGCTCGAAAACGGTGAGGGCGACAGGGTTGTGAGACTGCTTACTGTGCCTTCCCTATCAGAACCAGATTCAGAAGCCGGGGCCTTGCGTTTCTTCGAACGCGCGGATGGCTGGGAGTGTGAGGGTGTTACAGGCTTGGGTTTAGCCTTGGGTTTTGGTTTGGACTGACGCTTGGGGGATGGTGACGAGTGGTCTGCCTGCTTTAGCGGTGAAGCACGGAATTTGCCCTTGGCGTTATAGCGATATTTCACATTAGGCTGCCTACGCGATGGAGGCCCCCCAAATGAGTCTGAGGGCTCGGGCTCGTCATCAGAGTGGCCTGGCGAATCGAGCTGGTTTGCAAATACAGCGGAAGCCTGCTTTGCTGCTTTACGGGTCGGGAGGATGTGCTCAGATAGCATCGAGAAAGTGCTAGTAGTTGCCGAATGGTAAGGACGTGCAGTATTTGTCTTTCGGTCCTATGGTAGATGGAGCAACCCTTAAGATTACTGTCAGGACTGTATCAGTAGACTCTGTCAGCCAGACTCTCGCACTTTTGATGCCCGAGCGCGTTTTGTCACTCCGTGTCACGTCACGCGATACTTCCTCCTATCAATATTCGACTTCAATATATATATATATATATATCGACCAGTATCTAGCTCTACCTCTTTCCGTTGTCTTCCCCTTACCAAACGTAGTTTACCTGTGACTCGATTTGTTCTTCGGTAATGGCTTTCACAGGCTCCCACTCAGTACTCAGCATCCAACACGCATGCGCACTTCAAATTTGTCGCGCATTGAAACTAAATGTCAGATATCATTTTCAATATAATGATGGATGGTGTGACAATGTCGGGACCCTGGTCGGTTCAAGTTGACAGCGGTCATGTTGTGTTTGGTAAAAGAAGGCTCTCACTTCAAGCATAATCCTGAGCGTTTGAACCACGACAGTCTGGGAAAAAATAGAACATTCCACGTAAGACTGTACTTCTGCAAGAAGACGTGGCCAGTGTCCAAGATAAGACATTTAGGTCCAACAAAAGCGCAGACTTCTGGCGTGCCGCTCGAAGGCAAACGTAAGAATACACGGACAATCACATCGTCCGAGCCTTGTGTATCTTCACATCTTCTCTTGGTCTAACAAGTGGTCAAGTATCTCTGAAGATCCTAACGCACGATGACTTACCGATCCTGAGCATCAACTGCAACAGCACCTAATCTCTGCACAACACGCATGCCTGAGCTCACCCGGCCGAAAATGGTGTGTTTACCGTCCAGGTAGGGCGTGGGTGCCAGCGAAATAAAAAACTGAGATCCTAGAAGCGGGCCATTATATTCCAAGCAGTAGATGATATAAAAAGCGGGAATCTAACCGTTTGTGTTGGGCCCCGAGTTCGCCATTGCGAGGATTCCTGCCCCCGTAAAGCGTAATTCTGGATGTATTTCATCCTCGCTGTGCACATGTCATATGTTTACGTTTAGGATAAAGATTTACGATGGACGTACAATTTCTGACCATAAATGCTCGTCCCACCTCGACCAGTTCCAGTTGGATCACCACCTTGGATCATAAAATCCTACAAGCATGGTTGGTCATGAATATAGATACGTTTGCCGTAGAAAAAAAAGCTCGACTGACGGCGATAATTCGATGAAACACAACACCGTTGTAGTAGCCGCGTTTTGCAAGCTCAGCAAAGTTCTGACATGTCTAGGACGGTATCTTGATCAGTTCAGTCAAAGTAAAGGCGCAAAACAATAGAATAAACCCACCCGAGGGGCATGGTTCCAGTATAATTCAAGCTGAACGTCTCCGAGACTGGTTTCGAGAACAACTGAATCCATCGTGCTGTTCCCCCGATTTCTCACGCTAGTAGGAGGCTTTTGATCAAATCCCCAAGCACCTATACCCTGACGGCGTGGGAACCCTTTCGAAAACTGTACTAGTTGATTGGTGCATCGAGGTCTATCGTTTCTGTAACAAAACTTGTGTATGTCCTTTAATTTCAGTTTCTCTCTGTATCTTTGTTTTATTGATGAATTAAATCCAGACTAAAAGATGATATGGTTTTCTCACACTGGTGCTTGCTATGCAGAAAATTTGTCCGCTTCAAGTTTGTCTGCACCTATTCTGCGTGTTGATACTAAAAGATCAGATGTGGAATGTAGTGTCAATGCAATCATCTCATTTTACTTCGCTTCTCGACGCCAAGCTTAAGCATGTCAGATAATATCCTCTTCGAGAGTCTCCTGGCGGCGCCTGTCCCACCAACTTACACAAGATCAGGCTAACCATGTTCGATCTCACCCGATGTCGTCGTGCCATCATGGTGCAGTTTTGATTGGGAATCATGCATGCATGCCCTGTAATGCACGCTATACCCATTTCATGCTGCAGCGAATATTTTGGGCGATGTTTATTTTCTGTTTTTGAGTTTAATCACTCTCAGATAAGGCTGGTTTCTGTTAGATTCTCATTCACGAACCTGGCATGCTTGTCACCGAATGTCCGTCGCAAGAAATTGTTTTGCGCTCTGTCAAGGACATAGTATCAGCCTGTCTATGACCTAGCAGTCGCGACGCTCATGGGTCCCACTTGTTTTGTGGCGTATGCAGTTGCTGCCATGCACAACCTACACCAAGAAAGCTCTCCACGATTCAAAAGGCAAAAGAAAGGTCAGTGACGGGTTTGTAGTGTTGTATCTGATATGGAAGTGCCTGCTTGGTGTACATTTGTGGTATATCAATAGACTGTTCGCTGCCAATCCATCGTCATTTCTTGAAGTCGGGGACTGACGCTTCCCAGCGCTGCTACAATAGTAGTAGATGGGGGTAGATCTGGACAGTTGTATAATCTACATGATTACTGTCCGAGATACTGACACACAAGCTTGCAGTACTCAGTATCACTGCTTTTTGATGTAACTGGTTAAGCAGATGACAAGTCTTGACTACTTACAGTATGCCTGCCGTCGATGCCTGGAAGTAGGCGAGTTAACCGGTTGGCAGTGTTTTTCCAACAGGTTACAGTACTACTGTGACATCTGGACGACACAATATTGATGCGTCAGGGGTCCTGTAGACTTGTTCTGCATCGAGTATACGACAGAAATTGGAATTAAAAAAAGATTCAAAGACAGTCTCTTCCTTTCTGCCGTCACCATTATGATACCTGGCATGATCAGCCGACCGTTGATGGTTGATGCAGATGGTTGATGGTTCCTGTTGATGGCCTCAGAACAAAACCTAACCAAGAGCCATTATCAGACGAGGCGCTCAGCAAAGTTAATTGAAGCGCCAAAGAGAAGTAAATTTTATGGCTGGTAGGGTTGCGGTCAAGACTGTAAAGTGAACCAATAGGCGTAGTGTCAGTGGAATTTAGCGTGATTGCGCCATTGGAATTCCATGTCATTGAGCAAATACAGACGGCAACTGACTCGACATCGCGGAATCAATGGAAACGGGCTGTCTAGGAGAGACGCGCAGTGTGACTATGTTAGAAGCCGGCCACTAGAGGGTTATCCGACCTCCTCATTGAGGAGAACGTCCCGGTGGTTTGGGGCGACAACTCCTAGGCAGTCCCAGGTTTGGAGGCATATCCACTGAATAATTCGTCCCCCAACAATGTACTTCTGAGTCACGCTGACTTCTAATGCAGCCTACCTGAACTCAAAGGAGTCGTTCAGTGACATAGTGCATAGACTCGGAGGTCTCGGGGATGTGAGGAAATTCACTTACATCACATTTGGCCGTCACCTGGAGGCAAGCAGGCTGCGCATGGTTGTCAAGCAATCTGAATCTATGACAGGTAGCAGCCAAGCTGATAAGATTCGAAGCGATAAGCAATACTTCCACTCACTGCAATGTTCCGGAAACACCTGCCAATTGATCCTACACGATACGAGACTAGTACGAAAAAATTACCTATTGGATCAGAGTAGCCCACATTACGTCTGCCAGATGCGCCATGGGCGTGAAGAACACGGTATAAAGGCTTCGTGTGATGTTCCATTTGGTGTTCAAGAATAACAAGTATTCTCCCGCATTCACACTACTTCACCTCTCGCCTAGAGTCTACAGATGGATAGCTTGCGCATGCATCGTAGAAAAAGACATGAGCGCACCATGAAATCATCCAGATCGACACCACAAAACACATCGTCCTTACGGTCAGGGCAGGCCCCTGACCAACATTCAACGAGACTGGCCCTGCAGTCATGTCTTAAGCACCTCGACAGGTTAGAGTATCGCGTGCACGAGGAAATCCAAGGGGTCCGTAGCCTCTTTAGGGAACTCCTTGACAACTGCCAGTCAGATGCCACAACGGAGAATTCAGGCGAATGCAATAGCACCGTCGACTCCAAAGCTGGATTTGATGGCCTCAATACAATTCACTGCCTCGTGCCACAGCCTGCACCCCATGGAACATCATTCAGAGTCACTGGATTGCTGTCAGAAGGTACAGGTTCTCCCCAAGGTGAGTTGCTGTATACGCAGGCTTTTCCTTAGACGCTTACCATGTACAGGTTTATTGCCCTACAACGCCCGCAGTTCTGCCAACTATGTAGCTCACCTCCAGCACAGCATGTACTCGGAAGCCTTTTCGGCATCCTGCGACCCGCGTGTCACGGAATTGCCATCAGATCATGTAGATCCTCACCTCGGTTGATTCCCTATCATTCACAGCTTTTCCCTAAACGCTTACAATGTGTCCCCAGACCTATCGCTGCGTGGGACGTTCGATTCTGGCTATGGGACCGCTGCGGAACCCTTCCAGGGCATCTATTTGGAGGAACATGTCCTGTCAAATTCTTCAGCCAGACTCAGACCCGAAATGCAACTGTTTGTCCCCGTTGTGCAGGCTAGCCAAGCAAAGGACAAAGTAAAATGTACCTGGAACGGGTGCTCGGCACTCGTCAACAAGGATAACCTCACTCGTCACGTCGGGGAGGTGCATGAGGGGAAGATTAAGGCTGTTTGTGCAGACTGCGGAAGAGAATTCAAGCGCCCGTACCAGATGAATAAGCATATCCTTTCGACCAAATGTGGAAAATCGTAGATTGTTATCTTGGTAGTACACCACGGCACAAACCATTACTGCCACCAATGCAAATTGTTTTTTCTTGACTGACCAGGACCCCGTCGCCCTGGTTTTTCTGCCATTGTTAGATAACAAGGGTCACCTGCCTTCGTTCTTGCCACCACAGCCTAATAAGCTCGGGCCAAAACTCATCGCTATGACAGGTCGGTCCTGCAAAACATACAACCTGATTGCCGCGGCGGATATGCCGTGGGGGGAAGCTACAACCTGGATATGTGTTCTTTCGAGAACATCCTGTACTTTATGCAACACCCAACGCGTTGATTCGGAGGCTAGCGTGCAATGCGCACGCAAATGACGTAGCGGGAAATATATTGGTGGCCCGTGAAACACGTGTGGGAGAGGAAGAATGACTTGATGGATTGCAAGTATTCCAGGAAGCTAACACCCGTGGGTCGGCGGGATCATAAACCAACATAAGTTGGGAACTGTCGATAGACGAAATGATGTGGGAGTTCAAAACGTTTAAGTGCGGACTCCTCGTCTCTGAGCAAAACTCTCGAAATCGTCTCCGCGAAGTGGTTGCATCCGGAGTCGGAGACTCGCTCCCAGCCCAGGGGGGCAACACCAATGAAGAATAAGAAGGCGATAAACAAGGGCAATCAGAGATACTTGATTACCATTGTCCTGAGAAAAAAGAGCAATAAATATTGAGACCCGTAGGTCTACCACTCCGGGAAAGCGTGTCATCCTTGTGCAGGGGCCATGCTAATCTTCTCTGTATCGTTCCAATTTTTCGTATGTCACCCCGAAGGGGACAACAGTAGGTAGAGGCATAAAGTAGACCTCAGCACAATTTTGTTTTTGTTTTGAATGACGGGTTTTGCTAAAACCGCCATAACGGGAAATTGAGAAACTGTGCCTCAAATTGGTTCACCGGTATGAAATTATTAATGACCTGATGCTAATGGAGTTTCGTATGACTGCTTGAGATAGACCCACTTGGAGATGAGTGAATCATTCATTCAAGGCATGGTAAAAGGGGAAAAGGTCATTGAGTCAAGATGGAGTCGAAGAACATGCATTGATGGTAGAATCATTTGCCAACACAAAATGAAATAAGAAGACTAGTCCGCATTCAATTCAATGGACACAAAACATGTCAGGCATAAGTGAGGCGAGGGCTGGCGCCGGCGCCGTGACGATATTAATATTGAAGCATATAAAAGCTATACACTGAAACACAAATCTACTAGCAAAATTATGTGTCAATTTCAAACTGAAAGATAGCAAGAATACACAAACGAAAGCAAAGCCATGACAACATGAGGAGCGAGGCTAGCTAACTCCTTCGGTACTCAAGATGAAGCACTTCAAACTATGGATCAGCTTTATTGCGACTGTTTCCGAGCCTTGACCGGGAGAGTTGATGATTGATGGACTGCGACTCCCGAGAGGTCTGGAGACAGGTGAAGCGGGCCCGGAGGAAGCGTCTGTGGCACAGAAGGAAATTCATCAAAGAGTTCCTTCTCAAGGATACTGGGAGCAGGAGAAGATGATGAGTCCCGTGAGACCATCCAGTGCGATGGACGAGAGCCGGGTAATTCATTAGCATGGCGACCTGGAGGGCTTTTAGTTGGGGATGAGCTCGGAGGCTGGGATAATATAAACGACTTCTTCGGCGAGTTATATATCGAGCCTTGGTCTTGAGGAACGGCATACAATAATTTAGTCCATGCGAAGCTTTTCTTCTGAGCAGCTTACACACCTGTGTCCACTGCGCTGACGTTCGACTTAGTTCTGTTACGGTTGAACAATTTGTCCGCAAACTTTCCCACACCGCCTTTCTTCGGAGATACACTTGGCCATGTAATACCAAAACCTGACCCATCTCCATAATCAGATGGTGTTGCGACCGGGGCGGAGTCTTCAGAGGATGTTGAAATACTATCCCGAGGGTACGCCCCAGGCATATAGTTTGACGAACGACGACTAGTCAGCCGCCTGATGCTCGAGAGATATCTCCTATGTGAAGGAGACCGTTGTGACGCAGATGTAGAAGCCAGACTCCTCCCGTCACCCTCATCCTCCTCGGGGATGTCCCCATCCATGTTAGGTTCTCGGATGGATGGAATAGATACAGAACGCTCTGAAAGGGAGGCAGTCTCCATAGATGAAGCTTTAACGTGTTCCGCAGATGGAGTTGTAACGTGTTCCGTGGATGGGGCTTTGACGTGTTCTGTGAGTGTCTCTGTGAGTGTCGAGGAAGATACGGATCGGATGTCGGTTGCGAAAGTGTCTAAGGTTGGGGTTTTGGGAAGCGCGGCCTCTAGCAGTTCTGAATCATCACCCTCAGTTAGTTTCATCTCAAGCAACGCTGCTTCTTCTAGCAGGACGGCGAGTTCTCCATAGGCCGGACTCGAAAGCGGCTCGGCAGCAATAGTGATCCCCGTCCGCCGCACGCGCGCAACTTGTGGTGTTATAGGTGTGGAAAGGGATGAAGTCGGTGCTGTGGTAGCGGGAACTTTTGTGACCTTATGATGCACTACAGCCGTGAAAGATCGCTTGACTTCAGGCTTGGTAGTCTCTATCTCTAAATCAGGTGATGGGAGGCTGGGTTGTACTTGGATCTTTGGATGAGGCACGATGATAGAGATGGTCCCACTTTCCTCAGTAGGAGGAGACACTAGTAATGATATAGCCACGTCATCATGCTCCTTGTCATTGACATCATCGGATCCCAAGGTAATGGTAGATGTCAGGGGATGAGCCAATACTGAGTCATCTTCCGTAACCGCATTGGGGGCGACGAGCGAATGCGAAATAGTTGAAGACGAGTCGGGAAGGACAGCTTCCGAAGGCTGAGTGTCGATCACAGATGCATCTAACGACAGCGGGCGATGATATGGTGATTGAGGCTTCTCATCCGAAGGAGGATCAGGCTCGGTAGCGGAAGTCACCTCCACGACGGTTACGACTTCTGGCGAGGACTGAGATGACGTCACGACATCCAATGCTACCACAGGCTCTGGATTAGAGTCAGCCTGCAAGCCAAGCTCTAGTATCGCTGGTTCCTGCTCTGCCTGTGATAGTGTATCCATATCTTGGAGAAGTGCATCATCTGATGAGGTGACAGGTTCAAGGGTCTGGGACGGGACTATAGTTCCAACGGGGTCTCTTACTTCCGTCGAAGGGGAAGTGGGCAGAGAAGGTGAGGGAATTTCTAGATCTTCATCTGCATGCTGAGACGCCTCCCCGAAGCTGACAACACGTTGAGTGGGACCAAAATCAACTGCTAGGGAGTTGCGACGAGCAAAAGGAGAAGCTGGCGACGGTGTGGGTGGAAGCGGTGGAATAGGCACCCCCGTTTTGAATCTCGGAGGAGTGCCTTTCAAGAGTGTACCCCCGGTAGAGACACAACGTTTCCTTGGCAAGGGTGAGTCGTCCGCTTGGGGGAGAGGTGAGTCAGCGCGACTCGATGGTGAGCCGCCTGGTGTCCCCACTCGATTCCCATACAACTCTCCACGCTTCTTTGCCGGTGCGTTTTCTGCCAACTGAGGAGCACCCATTCCGAAGCTGCCTCGTGGGACAGGGACGCCTCCCTTCTCCTCAAATTTAGCGATTTTGTCGCGCAAACATCCGGTTCCACTACTCGGGAGGTTCTTTGAAGCGAATTGCTGTTGACTTGGGGAGACATTCCTCTGCTGGAGGGCAGCAATACGTTCCTTTAGATTGACTGGAGGAGGGTACGCGCGCGAAGTCGCCCTATAGTCTCGTGGTTAGCATACAGAGACATACCAGAAGTTGTCCACGTACATTGACCGGGTAAACTATATTGAGATTTGAAACGACTCAGAGGTGTGGATAATTGGTGATGCGGCGAGTTGCAGCGTTGTGACCGCGAAATCAAATGAACGAAGAACCCAAGAACAATTGGCGCCAGTTGGAACGTCGCAGATCTCCAAATGCCAATGGGATTGCTACTAAAACAAAGTTCAAGCGACTGAGAAAGGTTCAATGACTGGCTAGCAACGGTTGTGCATGAGACCAAGATTAAGTGAGTGTGAGTAACCATTTGATGCACCAAGATGTTCTAACTCCCTCATCTCCAAATATACTTCCTTGGTTAACTTTGTCTACTTCGAGCTTATTCGGCCCCGACTCCTCGTAACCTTGCTAAAATAGTTCTACTTCTCCAGTTCTCTGATGCACTGTAATACTATGTCTTCAGCTACTGTCTTCAGCGCTGTCGACCCCAATCGCCTTGGAAAGCCAAAATGATCTGCGTTTGCTCGTCATACTTCGCATTTTATCACCAGAGGCCCCGTTATCTAGACCCATATTATAGTGCACTTCTTCCTCATCTACTGAGTCATCTTCGTCGGCGGTGAATTCGGGTTGCTCATCTGACTGACTAGCTTCATTCCTCTGTACGGTGCGCCGCCTCTCGATATGGTATTTACCAAGTTCGTCGTTATCTTGACGGGAACCACTGGGTTCTTGCGGTAGCGACTCATCATCGGATTCGAGCACCATATCCACGCTACGCTCCCGGGTCCGTGTGCTGCTGCTTGCAATCATCGACGATCTGTCCTGAGCAGCAGTTTCGGGGACGTCGGCGAGAACTATACGGGGCTTGGGAGAGGTCCCGAGCAGCTTATGGAGCAACCGCTGGTCATAAACTTCTTGAATTAATAATCGGTTGTTCAAAGTCTGTTGCGATGTTTAACATTCGTTGAGAGTATAAAGAGAGCTATACCTCTTGAGTGACGCCAAGTATACTGGACAAAATGCTCATGTCCTCTGGTTCCCTGTGTCCACGTAAAGAGTAAGTCCGCCCTTCCTTACGTGCACCTAAGATCCCAGCCCGCAAGAAGGCCATTGATGTCATGATTCCGTGGGCTCCTGCAAGAGTCTGCCGAACTTTCGCAATTCCGTAAGATCCTTTGGAAATATCATTCGCTGGTGATAAAGGGAGCAATGGTGAACCATGGGTGAAAACTTTTAGAAGATTGAGCTCACAGGGATCGGTAGGGTCCTCGATGGACAAGAGGTTTCTCTTTGTGAAATCGTACCATCCTCTCTGTCTCTTGCTAAAATATGAGCCACCGTTACGCACGGATATTCCTACTTCCTCATAATTGAAATAGCAACCATAGAGTTCAAAGAACTCCATAACCAAAACTCCAAGATTCTTCTCTGCATCTATCTCCCCTCTGCGAATCTTGGGATGCATCTGGAGGAAGCTGACTGCCATACAAACAATACTGTAGCTGCCCAGACCACCGGTATACACCTCGTTCATCGCCCGCTGATTTAGAAATGCTTTTGCGATGATGACGAGACTCCGGAGCGCAAACCCACATCCGCGCATGCCGTTCAGAAAGCCGTTCACGATATCGCCCGCGACAACGCCATTACCCTGATTTATGCTGATATCCACGTTTAACCTGCCATGAATCGTGACAAATTTGATGATGGGCACTTTGGCTTTGGCAATGATGGTGACTTTGGAAGCGATCCGCGCGCGTTTGATGACATTAGCGAGGGTCCGTAGGACATTCACTTTATCGCTGTACGCCATCGACTCTGATTTGATCACGAGATCTATGTCCCTGAGCAATTATTAGCATTGACTCTGACACGATACATATAATGTTTACCCATTCGGGAGGTATAGTTTGGTTTCATAGCTTCCAAAGGGTAGTATCTGGGCATCTGGGAATGCATTCATGATCGCATTCGAAACAAGAATGATTACCAGTCCTCGTATTTCCTCTTCGACTTCAGTTGGTGACATGTAACGAACGAATGCCTCAACCTCGCGATGCAACCTGTGGCAAATCAGCTCACAACGTCAAGGAAAGTTACAAAACGTACATCTCCGGAACATTGTGACAGCCGTCCCAGTCGACTTTGGCAATCCAAGGAGCCTTTCTTGAAGTAGGGGCGAAGTCCTGTCTGCGCTTTCTGTGGTCCCTCAAATCTTCATCATCAAAAACCATTTCGTACGTTCGTTTTGTTCCCCGACCACCTCCATCTCGTGAGCCATCCCCGTGTGTTTCTCGTTTCCCTTTGTCCCATTCTCGTTCCCGCGCTTTCTCTTTTATTATTTCCACATTACTGCGATGGGAGTCCTGTGTCTTGGGTGCTTCTGCTTCATTATCACTAACCGCAAACGGTATGAATTCTTCGCCGAACGGTCTACTTGAGTCATTGGGCAGTTCGCCTAGCTCAAGTTCAGAATCCTTTTCTTTGCCTTTGCCATTGGTTCTTGCGCGTTTTGAACGTGGCTCCCTTGGTGTCCTATCATAGTCGTGTTCAACAGCCGTTTCTTTTGCTTGCCCCCTCTCATCCTCCTGTTCTTTTGTTCGTTTCCGTCGATGACTCCGAGGCACCCGAGATTTTTGCCGTGACTGAGGAACCGTGTCTGACATCGTGGGCTGTCCAACACGCCGCTGTCAGAATAAAGGGTGTTTGTTTGGATCAGAAGCCGTTGCCAAACAAACACTCCGTGAAGGATTCTAGAATAAACAAGTGCATGTATTGCTCACAACCCATCACCATAACAATGTAGCATATATAGCATTTGTACAAGTAATAATACGAAGTTGAAAAATCCAATGAAGCAAGATCAACTAATTGTATCAAGTGAACTTCACCCTCTTCAAATGGGTCCTTGCGTGCACTGTGTCCTCCTTTCCACCATCCTCCAAGTGGGTATCACTTTCCGCGAAATAATAAACCCCGGTGCTAATATCTTGCACATCCCTCCCGTGCCCAGTCCAACCACACTGTATTGATGTCACACTCTTTGATTTTGCCTCCTCTGATACACCCTTCGCGGCTCCAGTGGACCTCACGTAGTAAACCAGTGACTCGGCTCCCGCTGGGAATTCATTAAAATCCAGGTCCAAGTGAACCATTCCAATAATGTTGAGGAACGCCTCCGCGATTTGAAGAAGCTCCTGATTTCTAGAGCTAGCTATCCATCTTTCATGAGCGCGCACGTCATCCCATCCAGTGATGAGGTAGATCTCAGCAGGCTCTGCTGGATTTGTGAAGAAAGTTAACGGATAACCTGAAGAGGATGATTGCCAGGAAGAAACCTTGGAGAAGAAATCTATTATATGGGGGTCGGATAGTGTATTAGGGGGGATCAACGAGAGGGATGCGAATTCTGTGACTGGCATAATAAACTGTCTCGATGTCGTTGGACCACAATCGAGCCTGGTGGACGGAATCAAAACTATTTGGTACCGTTGGCTCCTGTGCATTTAAATACACTGGACGCGTCAGCGCCACTATCACGTTGGTCTGGATGAGCTTGCGTCATTCAAGGATCCTGCCAACTCCTGGCTGTCTCGACATCGTCGGAAATGACCGAGAGTGCTCTCACTGTGTATATATTGAAAACCAGGAAAGTGGTAAAAATGCTCCAAGGTTAAGTGGGGATCTGGGTAGGATGGTACCCACTAAGAACGGTGGAGAACACCTTTGCCAAAATACTAAATAGAAATAGTATTATCCTTATGTAAGCAGACCTATCAACAGTAATTATGGCACCATATAACCTCGAGGCCGACGGCTTGTAACAAGTATGTATACATACATAGACGACCCAGCGGCAAGTCCCGCTCGCAGCTGTATCATATATATGTTCTCGACGCCTCTCCTTGGAGCAACGTGTTCAAACCCTTGACAATCTATAATGTCCTTAAAACAAGACCGAAGAAATCACTCCTGGATTAACCGTTTTCTAGCCTCCCTCCGTCGTGTATTCATGTCAGAGCATCCTCCTGGACTTCCAGCTTTAAGGTTTCACTGTCCACATGGGCCTGATGTCGGTAGCGCGTCAGTTATGAGTTGGTGTTCCTCGATGGCCGATTCTTGGGACAAAACACAGGGTAATCTGTACTCAAAGTGTGTACTGGCACGCATGGAGTACAGCAAGTGTGCTGGCCATCCCGAACACGAGTTCCTCGTGTTTTATTTTAGCCATTGGGTCGATGGCTGCTCCGCTCAGGCTGTAGTGTCTGCAGACCGTGCCGTGCAAGGACAAGGCCGTTCCCTCAAACAATCATCTGAATTAGTCTCTCCCTCATCATCCGACACCAACGCGTATGACTCCGTATCTATTTATGGTTCCCCCCGCGATGCAGCGCCACAACTTCAAGTCAGATATGCACCATACAGAAGACTCTGTACCTTCGACTTTCCTTCATCCTCTGCGCCCTCGGCACTCCAAGTGTCCACGGTCCTGTCTCTGGTACACCGCCAGGCGCCAGCATATGATTTGTATGAAAACCAATGTTATTGGTTTTCGAGCGTAGTGTGGGGCAGCTTGAAAGAGCTGTTCCCTAGTGATGGACACTCAGAATGTGAAAACCATCGCGCACGCGCTCGTTATCGCGGGGTTGCATTAGGATCACCTCCTGAGGATATCGAGGCTGTATGCGCTGCATATCCGACCGAGTGGCAGAAGATGTTAGAGACACTTGAGCAGACCAAGCACCATCGCGAAGCTGAAGAGGCAAAGGTGGGCTATTCTCAGCTAATATGGACTCCATTTCTTGATGGTACTTGTCTTGGCAGAATCGACAGAAATTACACATGGAGTTTGAGGTTGAAAACGAGCCGTTTCGCCAAGCACAGGTGAGTTGTTTTCTCAGCAAATTTAGTCTTTGTTTGTTGATGGTACTTGTCTACCAGCAGGCCGAAATAGAACGACTTCGCCAAACAGAGGTGCATTATTCGTAGCAAAAAAACCATGGTCTTTGTTTGTTGATCTGTACTTGTCTTCGTAGATTTGCGTGCAGGCTGAAATCGAACGAGTTCGCCGAGAAAAAGTGGGTTATTCTCGGCAAACATGATCTTCGTTTGTTGACGGTGGTACTATTTCACTAGGACGCCGAAATCGAGCAACTTCGCGCGAGACTTGCAGCTTTAGAGGGCTGATATTGCATATCATCATACCGTGAATTAACTATGCCCTGTTCCATCTCTCCTCCATATTCCATAGTATAATAAAGAGGCAAGTGCACCATGCAACGTCCCCCTGCTCAGTATTGCCGATAGCGGAGTTGGGGATGAAAGGTGCCACAAGCAGAAATCTGAAAAATAAGAGAAATTGAAAATTGTCATTATGAGCGGTATACGCGCGCGGTGTTTGCAAAAGACGCACCGTCGATGTGGTTCACTATTGAGGTGCGGCACGTGGAATTCTGGTTCTCGGTGGTAGAGTACAGGTGTGCACTGGGTTTTATTAGCGACGTGAGCCAGCCGCCAGCCACCGGCATCGATATGACGTTGCTGCCGCGCACAGGCCAGATTCGTGCTCCAGAGATGGTATGATTTGCAGGGGAATCGATTCCTGTGAGGTATTGCAAGATTTCAATTTCCTTTCCCCCTTCTTTCACGAACTTCAGGTATCCCTTCTCGGACTCGTGAGTACTAGTAGCGTTCGACACGCAAGCTATCAGTGGATACTATAAGAAGTTTCTAACGCATCAGTATCACATTCCCAGACGTTATGATGACACGTACCCCAGGAGGGATTAAGTTGATCTTGTAATTTAAGGGTGACGAAACCATGAAATCGCTCCTCGGGTGAAACTGGCACCAAACGTTGGGGTGATCGTGAGTATCGATGAATATAGGCAAGTTCCAAAAGAAGTGCTCACTTTGTAGGTACGGCGCCGTGTCAATGATGCCTCAGTTTGACTAGACGTTCGTCGTTGGCCGAAAATATTGGAAGATGAAGGTACGGTACGGATGGAAGGGTATGCACGATGGTACATCTCATGTGAAGATGAAGGCACTGCGGACCAACATTTAGTAAAGAATGAAAGGGCGCTACAGATGACGAAACCGACTAACTGGTGCGTGTTCCGTTTTTTCAACGAATGCGACTGGCTGGCTAGTTTCGGATGTGGTTCAAAGTCGTTACTTGAACGTGCTCTGATCTCCACTGATAATGCAGGTGACTCGTGAGATGATCTGTAAACCGAGGATGAGTTGTCGAATCGCATCCGAAAAATTCGAGGGACTTTACTGGGTCACGGTATCTTCCCTGATTTCCAGCGTTTCCTTGAGTCAATATTGATGGACACGTAGATACCTGCAGGTATGCGCGAGGAGGGGACTTTGAAATTTTTCGTGCTGATAACTGTAGATAGAGCAGGAGGATCACAAAAGAGATACGAAGGTGATACAGAGTGACCTACCTTCAAGTCTTATGGATTAACAATAAGGCACGTAACAGCAGGAGCATACTTGTGAACAGTGAACGGTGGGCGCGAACCATTGCGCCAGCCACAAAACAAAACCATTAGAATGGCTTAGGAGTTTCGAACTGACCTACAACAAGTAGCTTGACACAGGCGCACAACCCTCAAGTTGGTATGTGGCAATGAGAATCCCATCCTCTTAAGCTTTACAGTAACCAGCGACATTCACGCAACCGGAAGTCTGCCAAGGGCACCGTAGATGGACAGAGCGTCAACCACGGCAATGGTGCCAAGATGGATGCTTAGATTGGAAGATTCACGCACCATACGCGAGCTGTGCATTGTACCCAGTGATATCAGTGCCCGTTTTCGTTGCAGCTTCGGGGCCCTGCTCGATGAAGCCGGTTGCACGGTCGATAGGTGTGGGCGAGGAACAAGAACCATCGAGTGCCCTTCGAGTACAGATCCTCTGCCTGATGCAATAATGTCCATAGCATGAGAAACGTTCCAGGTGCAATCTTCACCACCTGGGAAAACAGACTGTCCATGAGAGTCTCATGAAATTCAATTTGAGTTGCGTTTGTCTGGATGCAGATGATCAGCGATAAAGACTTTCATCACAGGCATGATAAGAATGACTCACTCAGCTGAGAGATCTCGCCTACATATTTGTATTTAAACACCTGGGATGATAAGACAAAAGAACTCGTGTAGGAGGGCCGAGACTGATCAAGATCGTGCCGGTAACCGTATGGACTGAATACAAGACTGATCGTGGCTCACGATTACCCATGTCAGTCCATATGCTTCAATTGCCAAAAGCATCATCCATAAGACTTTGACTCCATAGAGCGTCTTTAAGATGTCAATTTTTCAGCAGGTATAACATGAAAATCAAGGCCCAATAGACGGGACGAAGTACGGTACAACTTGAAAGTCACGGGGGAGATGATATAGATTTCTCGTGCCAGAAATTAGAATTTCCTTGTTTTGATGTGAAAAGGTTCAGAAACACTGGTGAGAAGTCTAAAGTGTTCGCTCACATTAAACTACTCAAGGTATCAATTGCGCGATATCGGCATAGAGGTGTTCCCTTTTTATCTTCTCTTGAAGAAGGCGGGCCAGATATGTGTCCTCGTTGCGACCTGCAGCGCGAATAATCTGCTTATCTTGATCTGTCATCTCAGTGCGTAAATACAACTGATTATCCTTATCTGCCCGAATATGCATGTTGATAATCCTATGCAAGGTAAGGGGCATTGCTAGAATTGAGAAGATGAGAACAGAGAACCTACTCTAGACATGACATAGCACTCATGGGTTTCCTGGTTTCTGCGCCCGTGACAGCAGAGACACGTAAGAAAGGCTCTCGAGCCTTTGCGATGTCAAGGACAACACGTGGGAAGTGCAGCTCAACGGTTGCCCCATTCCCAGAGTGTTCTGTGCAAGTAGCATCAATGAAATCCACGAGTCCAACAGGATCTTTGGCAAAACCCTCTGCGTCATGCCTTGCCCGAGCCTCACGCCATTGGTCTACCCGCTCCGGCGTAAGTTCATACTGTGCCATTGCATTGACCTGCACCATCCCTTGAAGCTTCTCCCCAACTGATTTGCTGCCCAAATACAATCCAACGAAGTCTAGGACATCACTCGGCTCAATTGCAATATCAACGCGCACCCCGAACGGCACGTCGAATCCGATCCGAGGATTGTCAAGCAGGCCACAGTCAATGACGACACCAATGTTGAGGAAATTCATGAGTAACGGATTCAAAATGAACATTCGTATGAATTTGAGGGCTCCCGAGGAGCGTTCGACTTCGTGGCATCTCGGTTTGTGGGTGGACCTATCCTAGCGTGAGTCACAAGTCCAAGGCTGGAGTGAGTGTCAATCATATGCGGCATCCTCACCAGTGTTTCTTTTGACACTGAAAGTTGAATCGTGACAGTCAGCACTTCAGATATTTGCATCATTTCAGTCGCAAATCCTACCTCTCTTGAGCAATACCAAACGCTCTTACACTAAAGCGAAACTGAGGAACGCCTATAACTTCATTTGGATATTTGACCGTCACCTTTGCGCATTTCAAAGGTTTCTCCAGTGACATTTGACACTGCGTACATCGTATGCGAAGCATTTTCCGGTTCGCTTTGAGGAATTCGCTGGAAACCGCTATAGCACGAAACTGATTGTCCCTCTCGGGATGAGTCGCATGCTGAAGCATAACGACTGCTGGAGTTGCAAAGGAGTTGTTCGTGTCAGTACTCATGTTCTGGCAAAGGCGGTAAGAGATGAATTTGGTGGGGAGGTGAGCGCGAGCAGTGGACTTTACAAGGGATGCTTTTGAATTAAAATGTCTGTGACATAATCCGAAGAAGGCATCACGTACTTGGCGACGGGCGTACCCGCAGTGAGTAAAGTACATACTATTACTAATACCTGCTGCAGTACTTATTTCTACATAGTGAGAACGGCAATGCCATGTGCGCACACCACTTGAGCTTAATCCGTATTGATTATAATACATATTGCTTCCCTCCAGGTCAATCTGTCAGTTACTCTCTATTGTCGAGAAACCAACATCTATGCTCGCCCTCATGTGATCGCCATAACGAATTGTCAGGAAGATGATCCTACGAAAGAAATTTTGAAGCATTACTATGTCAGTATCACCGGTCTTGTGGTCAAAAAGACCCTCACCCTTGTCCAATGATCGCCAAAACAGCCGCGATGATATTCGTCCACGCAACACCTATACGCTCGATCGATGGAACGATAATAGTAGAGGCAGCAGACAGAATGAGCGACCAGCTCGCTCTAACAGGTACATGGATGCATTCAGGTTTGATAGTCACGCAATATCATAGAGACTAACATGCAAGCAGCTGTGGCCTCAGCACTTCGAGAATGTACCACGTCCACGTTATAAGAGTTGATAGGATTCGTTACTGAATCGACCTATAAAATCGGTGAATTGCATTATGTACGGGGTGAGGGGACCAGCTGGTATGACTTACCCCCACTCCATTCGCATAGAGGCATAATATATTCAGCGCGAGGCCGATCGGGCCCCCAATATACGTTGTGATCAGCCCTGACGCCCCAATAGACAACGGGACAATAATCAGCCCTCCGATCCATGTTGCTCTCAAACGATCTTCGGGACACCACGCTCCTCTGCGCTTCTCTCGCCATCTTCTGATTACAATGTCCGATAGGCGGCCAGCAATCAGAGTTCCGGCTGTTAAAGATTGTATTGGTGCCCCGCGAGTACAATGCCCTGCACATACTGAAACTTCCCAGTCCATTTGGGAGGAAAAACGCCCCGATGATGGCTTCGTTCGTGATTCCATACTGGACGCCCTACACCACGATCAGGACAGGATGCGAGATGGAAGACAATTGTCAGCTTACAATAGTATACGCCATCGGTACGACGAGAACTGCATTGTTTTGAGTGAGAATGCACTGCACAATCAGTAACAAGTAACGACACACCATATATAGTGTTGACCATTAGAGCTGACACAAGCATCTACATCTCACACAAATTGAGAATTTGCACTAGCGCATGGTAAATGGACTCACAACCGCAAATAGGTTTGGACTGCGAAGCAACCAAAGAGTGCTCAGAGGATTAATCCATACGATATGTATCGATCTCCTGGACGGCAGTTTATCGATGCCCAATGTGCCGGGATGACTCGTCTCAGGCAACGAAAGGTATATAAAAAGCATCTCGAGTAATCCCCATGCACCAATGGAATAATGCAAATTGCGCCAGGACCAATACTGCGTCGCCGCACCTGTTCAAATGCGTCGCTAGAGTCAGCGGCCAAAAACATTCAGAATGCATTTACCTCCAACAAACGGGGCAACAGTGTACCCGATAAGTGTGACCTGAGATAGCGATGTCAGTACCAAACCGAAAAAACCATTCAAACATCATGATTCCTTACACTAAAGAATGCCCCGACAGCAGTCCCCCTCTCCTCCAATTTATAGAGGTCACCAATTACGCCAATCCCCAACGACAACGCCCCAGAGCATCCAAACATCTGCACGAATCGCCAGAATAACAGACTCTGCAATGAAGCCGACAGGGCAACACCACAGCTCCCAACACAGAGAAACGGCATTCCCCACAGGTATATTGTTCGGCGTCCGTCTATACTAGGACTGTGGTTAGAACTCAACAGCTACCACGAGTACAATACACGCCGTGGGTGCACGCACAGAACGACGAATAAGAAGCCCAAATCAACGCCCCGATGGCATTGGCAAAGATCGATATGCTAAAAGCCAAGCTGGGAAATAGTTCAATCACTACACATCGGATGGGCATACAACACACACCTGACGACAGCATCCGTTAAGTCGAGATCTTTAGCTATCCGAGGGATCGAAGGCACGAACGTCACTTGGATGAACACTGACCAATGTTCATCAGTACCACGCCTCTGGGTCAACAGTACGCTTAAACTCCCAGTACTCACTAGCCAACAAACCCACAAAGGACACGCGAAACAGGATCCACTTCTTTTGGTCTGGCGTGAATCGGTCATAAACAGCTTCATGCGGGGTGGGCACCAGCATAGGGCTTTCTTCTGAAGCCATCGTGAGTCGTGAGCTGATACCCTGAGAAGGATCAGTTGCCTATACCTGCCGGCCAGACATCACGAGTCAAGACCGTGACCGATATATTGCCGATATATGTAATAAGTACCTGTTGCAAGTTACTAATGTACGTACGCAGTATTTGAGCGAGTACATCATTCTGGCTGCTGGCATTTTAGATTCTTACCGTGAAACATCATCAGCACAAGACCTCGATATGCGAAAAAGAGAGACAAGTGAGGAGGGAGAAACAAAATTTCTGACTCTCCAACTCCAGCACCCTCTCTTTCGCACCCTGCCTCTGCTTAGACTTCTCTTCCACCTTCAATCTCACCTCCCATTCCTGACCAGCCGCATTGTCTTCTGGTTTAGTTTAAATCAGAGTAGTTGGTTATAGAATAGTTGGTTATGAAATAGGAGAGAGAATGGTCTTCGTTTCGTGGGAATCTAGGTCTGTATGCATCGGTAACCCCTATACAACCTGAGCAATTCTGCCTCAGCGGTCTTGAGATTTCTCTGCGTGTTCTCTGAGAGACTGAGGTGCGCTTGAGTCTGTGCGTGCGGTGAGTGGTTATATATCTATACTTCAAGCAGCAGTTTATGAATAAGATCTTCACGATCGTAAGTCATGCCTCTCAGCCGAGGGTGCAAATACCAAAGATGTGGCCGGCAGCAGCCGCCACATCTTTGATATTTGCACCCTCCCATCTGTATCCCGTTTCAGTCTATCTACTTGAAACTATTTAAAATATGTGGCACAAGCCATTGTTCACGCATTTTGGATATTCTGTCTCTGTTCAAGCAAGTATTCGCAGCAAGTTCACATTGTCCAGATGAGTTCGGCCTTATTCGATGAAGCAGTGGTTAATTTGGTACCATTTGCCATGAAGCAATGGGTAGTGAGTAGAAGCAGCTATGCGTATCACTCTGTTTGATGAGTACTGATTGATAAAGACTCCCATCACAGGCATGATAAGAATGACTCACCCAGCCGAGAGATATCGCCTGCATATTTATATTTAAACATACGAAGTATTTGGAATCCTGCAGAACACGTGTGCACCTGGCCATGTAAGATCTTCCAACGATTATATTGTCAATTTTCGGGCGTCAGGAAAGATGATAAGATGAAAGAACTCGTATACGAGGGCCAAGACTGATCAAGATCGTGCTGGTAGCCATATGGACTGAATATTCGACTACATAGAGTTGCAAGCATCTTCAAGATGTCAAATTTTCGGCAGATACAACATAAGAACCAAGGCCCCATCGATGGGATGAAGCATAGTACAAGACTGACTTGAAAGTCACGAGGAAGAGGATACAGATCGCTCGTGCCAAAATTTCCTTATTTTGATGCGAAGATTCAGAAAGACTGGCGAGTAGCCTAGAATGTTTGCTCACATTGTGTAAACTACTCAGTGCGTCGTTGCACGATATTGGCATACAGGTGTTCTCTTTGCATCTTCTTTTTAACAAGGCGAGCCAGATATGTGTCCTCGTTGCGACCTGCAGCGCGAATAATTTCCTTATCTTGATCTGCCATCTCGGTGCGTAAATGCAACTGATTATCTTTATCTGCACGGATATGCATGTTGATAGTCCTATGCAACGTAAGGGGCATTACTAGGATTGAGAAAATGAGAACAGAGAACTTACTCTAGACATGTCATAGCACTCATAGGTTTCCTGATTTCAGCGCCCGTGATAGCAGAGACACCTAATAAATGTTCTCGTTCCTTTGCCATGTCAAGGATACCAGGTAGGATGTGCAACTCAGCGGTCATTGCATTCCCAAAGTCCTCTGTGCAGTTAGCATCGATGAAATCTACGAGTCCAACAGGATCTTGGGCAAAACCCTCTGCGTCATGCCTTGCCCGAGCCTCACGCCATTTGTCTACCCGCTCAGACGTAAGTTCCCATGACATCATGGCATTGACCTGCACCATTCCTTGAAGCTTGTCCCCAGGAGATTTGTTGCCGAAATACAATCCAACGAAGTCTAGGATATTACTTGGCTCAATGGCAACATCAACGCGCACCCCGAACGGCACATCGAATCCGATCCGGGGATTGTCAAGCAGGCCACAGTCGATGACGGCACCAATTTTGAGGAACCCCATGAGTATCGGATTCAGAATGAACATTCGTATGAATTTGAGGGTTCCCGAGGAACGTTCGACTTCGTGGCACCTCGGTTTGTGGGTGGGCCTATTATAAGGTGTTAAGGCTGGAGTAAGTGTCAATCATAGGCGGCATTCTCACCAGTGTTTCTTTTGACACTGGACCGTGACATGTCAGTGCTGCAAATAGTTGTGTCGTTCCAGTCGCAAATCCTACCTCTTTTGAGCAATACCAAACGCTCTTACACTAAAAGATATTTGCGACGGCTGAGAACACCTGTAACATCATTGGGATATTTGATCGTTACCTTTGCACATTTCAAAGGTTTCTCCAATGACACTCGACACTGCGAACATTGTACGCGAAACTTTTTCTGGTTCGCTTTGAGGAATTCGCTAGAAACTGCTGTAGCACGAAACA